AGGTCTATTTTCCCCAAACTCCACCAGTGTTCACATTTGGGCATATTGAGTATTCGTGCCAAGTTTGGTCCAGATCCATCATTGCATGAATCCACAGTGCTCCTCTGGATATAGGTGAACTACAACTCCCAAACTGAAGGTCAATACCCACCAAACCCTTCCAGTGTTTTCTGTTGGTCATGGGACCTCTGTGTGCCAAGTTCGGTTGAATCCATCGCTGGTGGAGTTCAGAATGCTCCTTGATTATAGGTGAACTATAAATCCCAGCAATGACAACTCCCAAATTACAAAATCAATCCTCCCCCAACCCCACTAGCATTCACATTTGGGCATATTGGGTATTTGTGACTTTGTCCAAAACTTCCATGGCAGGGATTCGAACTCAGGTCTCAAGAATCAAAGCAGCCCGTCATATTAGCTCTCTATTATAGCTCAATCATTTCACTCAGTCCTGGTTTCCTTCATGACTTTCCACATCCTTCCGGCCTTAACCTGCATCTAAGATTGTTGCGGTGAAGTTGTGTTTGCACTGCAGAATGCATGCAGTTCGACACCACTTTTCCTGCAGTTATTCAGTGCTATGAAATCCTGGGATTTGGAGTTCTGCAAGGTCTTTTCCTGTCCCTGGGTGCATCTATACTGGGGAATGAATGCCACCTGGGATTTGGAGTTTTGCAAGGTCTTTTGCCATCCCTGGATACATCTGTACTGGGGAATGAATGCCACCTAGGATTTGGAGTTTTGCAAGGTCTTTTGCCTTCCCTAGATGCTTCTATACTGGAGAATGAATCCGCCTGGGATTTGGAGTTTTGCAAGGTCTTTTGCCATCCCTGGATACATCTGTACTGGGGAATGAATGCTGCCTGGTATTTGGAGTTTTGCAAGGTCTTTTGCCATCCCTGGATACATCTGTACTGGGGAATGAATGCCGCCTGGGATTTGGAGTTTTGCAAGGTCTTTTGCCTTCCCTGGGTGCATCTATACTGGGGAATGAATGCCACCTGGGATTTGGAGTTTTGCAAGGTCTTTTGCCTTCCCTGGATACATCTATATTGGGGAATGAATGCCACCTGGGATTTGGAGTTTTGCAAGGTCTTTGGCTTCCGTGGATGCATCTCTACTGGGGAATGAATGCTGCCTGGGATTTGGAGTTTTGCAAGGTCTTTTACCTTCCCTGGATGCATCTATACTGGGGAATGAATGCTGCCTGGGATTTGGAGTTTTGCAAGGTCTTTTGCCTTTCCTGGATGCATCTATACTGGGGAATCAATGCTGTTTGATGCTACTTTTGCAGAAATGGCTAAGTGCTATGCATTTCTGGGAGTTGTAGTTTGCACGCTGAAGACTTTGCAAAACTATGACTCCCAGGGTTCTTGCAAGACTTTTTCATCTGAGGTTGAGACAGTGTGACTTTGTCCCAGGCTTCCATGACACGAATTTGAACTTAGGCCTCAACAATCAAACCAGTCCATCGTATTCGCTCTCTATTGCACTCCTGGACATAGGAGGCTGAAGACCTTGCAAAACTATAACTCCAAGGATTCAGAGCATTGGGCTAAAGTGGTATTAAACTGTATTAATTTCCCATTGTGGATGCACCCATGGTTGGAATTCAGGGCAAGGGAGGAATTTAGGGCTATAGACTTCAACAGGGATCCCATCAGGTCCACTGGCTTTGTTATTTTTTTGTTGTTGTTGGCATTGCTGACTTATTGCAAACTAGGCAGTGTTGCAAGCTCATCCCTGGTATAGAGGCCAGGGTGGATGATGGGATCTACAATTCCAGAGAATGCTGAGATTCTGAAACCATGAAACATCCCTTTTCTTGGATGTATAGAGTTTTGTTTTGTTTCCCTCGCAGAACGTCGCTGCAAGCAAACAATAAATGAGAGAATGGAAAATAAAAGGCGAATCATGCAAGTCCTGCCAGACTGCTTTGAGTTTTGGGAAAACTTTTTCCCAGCTTTGTACAGAAAGATTGAGCTGCTCCCACGCAGAAAACGTATACATATGTGTTTGGGAGAGTTCGCACATTGGGATGGGAGGAGATTTTTAGACTACAAATCCCAGCATCCTCTGGCTAAAATATAGTCCTAAAGTAGTTATGTTCCAAGCTATGGTGTTTGTTTATTATATGCAGCACAAGTGGCCATATTGTCTGCAGCCAGGCAGGATTCTGGGCTTTGTAGTCCCAAGAAGTTCTGCTTGGGTTGTGATTACCCCAGGCATGGACAAACTTGGGCCCTCCAGGGGTTTTGGACTTCAACTCCCACAATTCCTAACAGCCTACCGGCTGCCTGGTGTATGTTTAACCTCATAGCCATATTGGCTGGGGGATGATGGGAGTTGTCATTCCCAGGAAGGGCTTTCCTGAGCTCTGATTTGATTGCATGCAGCTGAAGGCTAGTCATTGGGAATACTGGGAGTTGGAGTCCAGAAAGGAGATTTTGGCATGTTTTGAGAGGACAAGACCCTCTCTTTGCATTCCTTTAGCTGCACCACCCAAAAGCGATATTTTTGACCCTGAAGCTGGGTGTTGCCTGCCTCAGTTGCGCCTCTGCCAAGATCTTGGGTGGCTGCCAAACCCCACTTTTTTCCAAACGTGGTTATCATGTGGTTTTTTTACATTCAAAACCAGCATTTCTTTATTTGTTCTGTTGCAGAAAGGAAGATAAAGGCCGACATTGTTTTCAGAAACCAAAGGTTTAGCCTTTTTAAGAAAGTGAGTGTCTGGAGCGCAGTGAAAGAGAATAGAAACCCCACTTTTTGAGACTACAAATCCCAACATCCCTAGTTCAAATGGCTCAGACCACCTGCTGGATGATAGATTCTGGGAGTGGCAATCTTCCTCCAAAGAGGAAAGGAACACCCCCAGTTTGAGACTACAACACCCATCATCCCCAACTAGCATACTCAGGCCTGCTGGTGCAAGGATACTGGGATTTGCAGTCTTCCTCCAAAGAGGGAACAAAAACCTACCATATTTGAGACTACAATACTCATCATCCCCAACTAGCATAGCCCAGACCAACTTGTGTAAGGATACTGTGATTTGCAATCTTCCTCCAAAGAGGGAATAAAAACCAAATATATTTGAGATTACAAAGCCCAGCATCCCCAACTAGCATAATCCAGATAAACTAGTGCAAGGATACAGGGATTTGCAGTCATCCTCCAAAGAGGGAATGGAAAGTAACCATATTTGAGACTACAATGTCCGGCATTCTCAACTAGCATAATCCAGACCTACTAGAAAGGATACTGGGATTTGCAATCTTCCTCTAAAGAGGAAATGAAAACCAACCCTATTTGAGATCACAAAGCCCATCATCCCCAACTAGCATAATCCAGATAAACTAGTGCAAGGATACAGGGATTTGCAGTCATCCTCCAAAGAGGGAACGGAAACTAACCATATTTGAGACTACAACACCCATCAACTTCAACTAGCATAGCCCAGACCTACTTGTGCAAATAAATAAACATTGTAGTCTCAAATAAACATATTTGAGACTACAATCCAACATCCTCAACTAGCATAATCCAGACCTACTAGTGCAAGGATACTGGGATTTGCAATTTTCCTCCAAAGAGGAAACGAAAACCAGACCTATTTGAGATTACAAAGCTCAGCATCCCCAACTAGCATAATCCAGATAAACTAGTGCAAGGATACAGGGATTTGCAGTCTTCCTCCAAAGAGAGAATGAAAATCAACCATATTTGATACTACAACACCCATCATCCCCAACTAACATAGCCCAGACCTACTTGTGCAAGGATACTATGATTTGTAGTCTTCCTCCAAAAAGGGAACGAAAACCAACCATATTTGAGACTACAACACCCATCAACCCCAACTAGCACAGCTCAGGCCTGTTAGTGCAAAGATACTGGGATTGGCAGTCTTCCTCCAAAGAGGGAACAGAAACTAACCATATTTGAGACTACAATACCCATCATCCCCAACTAGCATAATCCAGATAAACTAGTGCAAGGATACAGGGATTTGCCGTCTTCCTCCAAAGAGGGAATGGAAACCAATCATATTTGAGTCTATAACACTCATCAACCCCAACTAGCATAGCTCAGGTCTGCTAGTGCAAGGATACTGAGATTGGCAGTCTTCCTCCAAAGAGGGAACAGAAACTATAATACCCATAATCCCCAACTAGCATAATCCAAATAAATTCGTGTAAGGATACAGGGATTTGCAGTCTTTCTCCAAAGAGAGAATGAAAACTAACCATATTTGACACTACAACACCCATCATCCCCAACTAGCATAGCTCAGGCCTGGGATACTGGGATTTGCAGCCTTTTTCCAAAGAGGGAATGAAAAGCCACCATCCAACATCCCCGCCTAGTATAGTCCAGAACATCCTGCTGGTGTATGGATTCTGGGATTTGTAGTCCTTCCTCCAAAGAGGTAATGGCAACCACAATTTTTAAAGACTACAACACTCAGCATCCACACTTCTTGCTGCTATGTGGAATCTTCCTCCAAATAGGGAACAAACACCCCTATTTTGGAAACTACAACACCCAGCATCCCTAGCCTGCATGGCCAAGGCTTGGCAGTTCTCCAAATAGGGAACAAACACCCCTATTTTGGAAACTACAACACCCAGCATCCCCAGCCAGCGTGGCCAAGGCATTGCAAATTCTGGAATTGGCATTATATTCCCAAAAAGATGGAGTGAAAAGTCCAGTTTTGAGACTGCAGTGCCCAACATCCCCAGCTAACACCGCTGGGACCTCCTATCAGTGTGTGGATCCTGGGATCTGCAGTCTTTCCAATGACAATTTTAGTTTTTTTTTAAATTACAGACTTGGGGATAATTACAAAGCAGGGCTGCAGCCTTGGCAGTTGAGGGTTCAGGGCTCGTGGGCCTTTGCGGTCGGTCGCATTCACTGGGGAGCCTATATTTTGTTTTGATGCCTCTCTCTCTCTCTCTCTCTCTCTCTCTCTCATTTTGCATTCTTGTGTTGCCCACCAGCTTCCAAGGGGACTTGGCAAGGGCCGCCCAGAGTGGATCCAGTTTCAAAGGGATCACGTGGGATCCAGGGAAGGAGGCCTATTTCTGAACCGCCGGATCCAGAGATCAGCTGGTTTTCCACGGCCGGGATTTGTCTCGCGGAGGTAGAGTTTGTGCATTCATTTCCTGCATGATTTTTGCAATCTAGACTGTAACGTGTGTTATGTAGGTTTTTTCAGGCTATAGGGCCATGTTGTAAAGGCATTCTCTCCTGACGTTTCACCTGCATCTATGGCAAGCATCCTGAGAGGTAGTGAGGTCTGTTGGAACTAGGAAAAGGGGTTTATATTTATCTGTGGAATGACCAGGTTGGGACAAAGGACTCTTGTCTGCTGGAGCTAGGTGTGAATGTTTCAACTGACCACCTTGATTAGCCTTTAATGGCCTGACAGTGCCTGGAGCAAACTTTTGTTGAGAGGTGATTAGATGTCCTTGTTTGTTTCCTCTCTGTTGTTGTGCTGTTGTTATTTTGGAGTTTTTTAATCTGGTAGCCAGATTTTGTTCATTTTCATGGTTTCCTCCTTTCTGTTGAAATTGTCCACATGCTTGTGTATTTCAGTGGCTTCTCTGTGTCGTCTGACATGGTGGTTGTTGGAGTGGTCCAGGATTTCTGTGTTCTCAAATAATATAATAAACAAACAAGAACATCTAATCACCTCTCAACAAAAGATTGCTCCAGGCACTGCCAAGCAATCAAATGCTAATCAAGGTGATCAGTTGAAACATTCACATCTAACTCCAACAGACAAGAGCCCTTTGTCCCACCCTGGTCATTCCACAGATATATAAACCCTTTTTCCCAGTTCCAACAGATCTCACTACCTCTGAGGATGCTTGCCATAGATGCAGGCGAAACGTCAGGAGAAAATGCCTTTAGACCATGGCCATATAGCCCGAAAGAACCTACAACAGCCCAGTGACTCTGGCCATGAAAGCCTTCGACAATACATTGTAATGTGTGTGTCTGTGTGTTTCCAAAACAAGCCCATGTTCTGTGCTAGAGGTGCCACTGATGTCTGAAATCTCTGCATCGAGGAGTCCATCTACCTTGTAGATTAGAATGAATGCAGTGTGGCACCACTTGAACTAGCATGTGGGATCCTGGGAGCTGTAGATTGACAAGGTATTTACTCTTCTCTGCTAAAGAGTGTTGGTCCCTCAACAAACTCCAACTTCTGTGATTCCATAGCATGGAGCCATGGCAGTTAAATCAGGATCAAAGACTCTGGCACAAGCCAGTCAAGGTGATCGCAATGGTGATTGGCACACTGGGTGCAGCGCCTCAAGACCTTGGCCTGGACTTAAAGCCGCCTCTGGGCTGAGAAAGGCAGTATATAAATATGGTAAATAAATAAATAAATAAACACAATTGGCGCTGACAAAATGACCATCTGTCAGCTTCAAAAGGGAAGTGTCTGACATGTGATCCAGTACAAAAGTCAGCAGAGTGATCTTGTTTCCTGTGTACTAATCTTGCTGTGTATCTAATAATAATAATAATAATAATAATAATAATTCCTGCCCTCTTTTTCCTTCCTCTTTCTCTCATGCAGCAAAGCAGATACATTTAGAGTTCCAAAGGCATCCAAGAGGGCATCTAGACAGTAGAATTAATGTTTCCAACAGACCTCACAACCTCTGAGGATGCCTGCCATAAATGCAGGCAAAATGTCAGGAGAGAATGCTTCTGGAACATGGCCAGACAGCCCGGAAAACTCACAATAATCCTACTCTTATCTGTTGGAGGCAAGTGTGGATGTTGCAATCGGCCACCTTGATTAGCACTGAATGGCCTTGCAGCTTCAAAGACATGCTGATTGCTGCCTGGGGGAATACTTTGTTGGGAGGTGTTAGCTGGCCCAGATTGTTTATGTGCTGAATAATGTTCAGGTTGAGAACCACTGTTCTAAGGATTATTTCTGTGTTTGATTTATTGAAATATTCCCATCCAAACCCAGTGTGGAACACATCTCACCACACTAAAACAGTAGATGTGGCTCTTAATGAGACATGCCACATTATCACAGGGTGTCTGCGCCCTACACCACTGGAGAAATTACACTGTTTAGCCGGTATTGCACCACCTGACATCCGCTGGGAAGTAGCAGCCAATAGTGAAAGGACCAAGGCAGAGACATCTCCAGCTCATCCCCTGTTTGGGTATCAGCCAGCACGTCAACGACTTAAATCAAGAAATAGTTTTCTAAGATCTACAGAGATACTCACTGGAACACCCCAGCAAGCGAGAGTCCAAAAGTGGCAGGCTCAAACCCAGAACCTCAATCAATGGCTGATACCAATGAGAGACTCCCCCCTGGGCACACAGAAGACTGGGCGACTTGGAAGGCGCTGAACAGACTGCGCTCTGGCACCACGAGATGCAGAGCCAACCTTAAGAAATGGGGCCTACAAAGTGGAATCCACGACATGCGAGTGTGGAGAAGAGCAAACCATTGACCACCTGCTGCAATGCAACCTGAGCCCTGCCACATGCACAATGGAGGACCTTCTTGCGGCAACACCGGAGGCACTCCAAGTGGCCAGATACTGGTCAAAGGACATTTAACCAAATACCAAATTTGCAAAATCTGTGTGTTTTTTCCTTTTTCTTTTTAATCTGTGTGTTTGTTTTGCTCTGTTAGAATTGTAATACAATGGTTGCTGATGACACGATAAATAAAATAAAATAAATCCAAACCCAAGTAACGAAGGTAGAGGCATTACTTTTCATTCAACCCTCATAGGCTCCAGGCCTCCTAATTAATATTTTATTGTATATCAATTTGCCAACAAACACTGTGATAGGAGCAGATCCCAAAGGATAACATTTTCCCTGATTTTTTTTTTTTTTGCAGCAATTCACAGATGAATAGATCATATTGATCAGGAACAGAATCCCCCGATTTGGACAGAGAAGGCCGCCTTCTTGCCGAAGACAGACGCAACATGGCTGCACCAGGTCTGAGCTCTAATTTTGTATTCTTATCCTATTTGATCCCTGTGAAGGAGTCGTTAAACTGCTGCCACCAATTGTAACGATGACCGTTTTAATGCCACCGAATGCCACCAATTGTGAAGGTGCGCGTGGTAAAGCACCCACTGCCACCTAATCTATGAGGGAAGCCGGGCAAAGATCAATATCAACCTAGGAGCTATTTTATAAAGGAACTGTTAATTACAGAAGGCTTTATTCACTTGATAGCGTAGCGTTTACTTTCTTGGCTTGACTTTACTATTGTAGGCTGTTCAACTTAGGAGCAACTGTATCAGGCAAGGCTTGAGGAAAACAGTAACAAGTTTATTTTAACAGGAGTATAACAATGAAGAGATCAAGAGAAGGTGGCGAGACTATACAGAAGATCTGTATAGGAAGGATAATAATATTGAGGATAGTTTTGACGGTGTGGTGAATGAATTAGAACCAGACATCCTGAGGAGTGAGGTTGATTGGGCCTTAAGAAGCATTGCTAACAACAAGGCAGCAGGAGATGACGGGATCCCAGCTGAACTGTTTAAAATCTTAAAAGATGATGCTGTCAAGGTGATGCATGCCATATGCCAGCAAATATGGAAAACACAAGAATGGCCATCAGACTGGAAAAAATCAACTTATATCCCCATACCAAAAAAGGGAAATGCGAAACACTGCTCCAACTTCCGTACAGTGGCCCTTATTTCTCATGCCAGTAAGGTAATGCTCAAGATCCTGCAAGGAAGACTCCAGCAATACATGGAGCGAGAGTTGCCAGATGTTCAAGCTGGGTTTAGAAAAGGTAGAGGAACGAGAGACCAAATTGCCAATATCCGCTGGATAATGGAGAAAGGCAGGGAGTTTCAGAAAAACATCTACTTCTGCTTCAGTGACTATTCTAAAGCCTTTGACTGTGTGGATCATAATAAATTGTGGCAAGTTCTTAGTGGGATGGGCATCCCAAGCCACCTTGTCTCTCTCCTGAGGAATCTGTACAAGGACCAAGTAGCAACAGTCAGAACTGACCACGGAACAACAGACTGGTTCAAGATTGGGAAAGGCGGACGGCAAGGCTGCATACTCTCACCCAACCTTTTTAACTTGTATGCAGAACACATCATGCGATGTGCGGGGCTTGATGAATGCAAAGCTGGGGTGAAAATTGCTGGAAGAAACATTAACAACCTCAGATATGCAGATGACACCACTCTGATGGCCGAAAGCGAGGAGGAGCTGAGGAGCCTTCTAATCAAGGTGAAAGAAGAAAGCGCAAAAGCCGGGTTGCAGCTAAACATCAAAAAAACCAAGATTATGGCAACAAGAATGATTGACAACTGGAAAATAGAGGGAGAAACCATGGAGGCCGTGACAGACTTTGTATTTCTAGGTGCAAAGATAGTAAAGAGTAGAGACATCACACTGGCAACAAAGATCCGCCTAGTCAAAGCCATGGTACTCCCTGTAGTAACCTACGGATGTGAGAGCTGGACCTTAGGGAAGGCTGAGCGAAGGAAGATAGATGCTTTTGAACTGTGGTGTTGGAGGAAAGTTCTGAGAGTGCCTTGGACTGCGGGAAGATCCAACCAGTCCATCCTCCAGGAAATAAAGCCCGACTGCTCATTGGAGGGAAGGATACTAGAGACAAAGTTGAAGTACTTTGGCCACATCATGAGGAGACAGAAAAGCCTAGAGAAGACAATGATGCTGGGGAAAGTGGAAGGCAAAAGGAAGAGGGGCCGACCAAGGGCAAGATGGATGGATGGCATCCTTGAAGTGACTGGACTGACCTTGAGGCAGCTGGGGGTGGTAACGGCCGACAGGGAGCTCTGGCGTGGGCTGGTCCATGAGGTCACGAAGAGTCGGAGACGACTGAACGAATGAACAACAAATAACAATGTATAACTGTTCTTCAAAAGAGGCACAAATCTTGATGGATACATTGGAAAGGTTTCATGAGTAAACTCAGGCAAACACTTCATAAGGTTTCACAGCTGGCACAACAGGCTTAAACCCAGCCAAACCTTGATTCTTAATTCAGAATCAACAACCCCCTGTACCGGGTCCTTCTCTGCAACCACTTGGTCACCAATTGATTCCCTGAATCTCCACCAAGAGATTCAGTCTTTCCCTATAGCACACTGGCTACAGACACATTCCCTGAATCTCCACCAAAAGATTCAGTCCACTCAGTAGCTCGCTGGCGTACTGACTGACCCTTTTTCAAAACAGCTGCCCCTGAAGAGGCAGTTGGCTCCGCCCATGTTGCTATGGCAACTTAGCTAACGCCAAGCCACCCTCTCCAACAAAACATAATCTCCCATACTTACCATCCCTAAACCACTGTCCAAACTACACATAACCAAAGGAATAAAATTTACACATCGTCACAACCCCTATCAAAAGAACAAAGCCAAGCGACTTTACTTCCTTCCAAACCCAGACAGACTCAAGGCATATATACTGTATAATTATTGTTTTCGAGGCTGTTGACTGCCTTGAACCCATTCCTGAGTTTGACGGCGACCCTGGGGCCGAGAGAGTGTGCCTCACCCAAGGTTTCCCAAAGATAACACTTCAAAGTAAATGGGTCAGTCCTCCAGCCATTCCGTGGTCAGCGTCTTCTGTAGTCCACCTTACAGTGCCCCGTAGACTAAAAGCACGGTTTTGGACACATCACACTCCAAATCAAGCCTTCCTGGGTTTTGGGAATTGATCTCGTGGGAGTGCAATTCCCAGAATCCTCCCTCCCCCACATGCTTCAGTGTGAAACCATTTTAGACTTGGCATTGGATGAGAAAGTCCATCACAAGGATCAACCAATAGTGTGAAAAAGGGACATACCATCTTTTTTAGGAGCACAGTTCCAGAATCTGGCAGCCCAGTCACTGCTACTGAATGCAAAAATAGTATTTAATAGTAAATACTAATTAGTAAATACTATAGTAAATAGGATTGCAAAGGTAGTCATAAAAATCCACTAGGTAGCTTAGTATTTGGGGATGGGGGATGCTGGGTGTTGTCATCCAATAAAATGGGATTTTTCCATTTTAGTTTGACCCCACTTGAATTGCCATGGCTCTGTGTTACAAAAAGATGGGAGTTGTAGTTTTACAAGGCCAGTGCCATGAAATGATGCAAGTTGTAGTTTTTCAAGGTCTGTGGTATGAAAGGATGGGAGTTCTAGTTTTACAATGTTTGTGCTATGAAATGATGGGAGTTGTAGTTTTAAAATGTCTGTGCGATGAAATGATGGGAATTAATAGTTTTACAAGGTCTGTGTCACGAAATGATGGAAGTTATAGTTCTACAAGGCCTGTACCATGAAAGGATGAGAGTTGTAGTTTTACAAAATCAGTGCTGTGAAATGAAGGGAGTTGTAGCTTGTTAAGGTCTGTGCCATGCAGTGATGAGAGCTGCAGTTTTACAAAATCTGTGCCATGCAATGATGAGAATTGTAGTTTTATAAGGACAGTGCCATGAAATGACAGGAGTTGTAGTTTTTCAGGATCTGTGCTATGAAATGATGGGAGTTGTAGCTTTTCAAGATCTGTGCTGTGAATTGACAGGAGTTGTAGTTTTGCAAGGTCGGTGCCATGAAATAATGGGAGTTGTAGTTTTTCAAGGCCTGTGCTGTGAATTGAGGGGAGTTGCAGTTTTTCAAGGTCAATGCCTATGAAATGACCTGAATTGTAGTTTTGCAAGGCCTTTAGCCTTCACAGCCAAAGAGTATTGGTGCCGCACCACATTACAACTCCCAGGATTCCTTAGCAGTGGGCCAGGGCATTCTTATCCTATTTTACCCGTATCAAAAGAACAAAGCCAAGTGACCTGGTGTCCTTGAAAAGCCAGACAGACCCAAGCCATATATATATATTGTTCTTGAGATTGTTGACTTCCTTCAGCCCATTCCCGAGTTTTATGGCAACCTTGAGGCTGAGAGAGTATGCCTCGCCCAGGGAGAATACCTCAAGGTAAATGGGTCAGTCCTCCAGCCATTCCGTGGTCAGCATCTTCTGTAGTCAACCTTACACTGGGCCATGGCAGTTCAAGTGGAGCCAAATTGCATTAAGTCTACAGTGTAGATGCACCGGTAGAATCACGCTTTGCAATGGCAGAAAGCTATTGCGTGATGCTGGCGGAGTCACACTCTCTCAGCCTCAGAGGACGCCAATGGCGGGCATCGCTCAGAACCATCACCTTAGTTTTTAAATTGTACAAGGGTTGAATGAAAAGTAATGCCTCCACCTTCGTAACTCCTCAACAGATGGCAGTACTGGTATGTGGCAGGTACTGGTTTGTTCAGTAGATGCTCATCTACAGTTCCATTTTTGTGGGAAGCCTTAGCATTAAATGGTTGTGTTGTTAAAGTGCAAAGTATGGAACCCTGTGCAGATGGTCGGTCAATATGACTTAAGCAACGTGCAGTCATTGAATTCTTGACAGCAGAAGGTGTCACTCCAAAGGAGATTCATCCGAGATTGCAAGATGTTTATGGGGATTGTGTTGATGTGAGTACTGTGTGTCGTTGGGTGAGTAAGCATGCATGACAAACTTGCATGACAAACAAAGAGTTGGATGTCCTGTGACAGCAACCACTGAGTTTCACAAGCAAAAGATTGACAGATTGATTCAGAACAATCATCGTATCACTCAGAGAGAAATTTCAAGCTTGATCGGCATTTCACAAGAACGTGTGGGTCACATTATTGCTTTGCTTGGCTGTTGGAAGATCTGTGCACGATGTGTACCTAGGATGCTGATGCCTGAAACTCATTCAACAACGCACCGTACGCACATCAACACAACCACCATAAACAGCATGCATTCTCTGATTAATCTCCTTTGTGGTGACACCTTCTGTGTCGATAATTCAATGACTACACGTTGCTTAAGTAGCATTGACTGACCGTCTGTGCAAGCTTCCATACTTCGCACTTTAACAACACAACCGTTCAATGCTTAGGCTTCCCGCCAGAATGGAACTGTAG